GTCCTTGCACAGCCACGCCTACACCAGCCCACAAGCCCTGGCAACAACTAGTGTGTTTGCTGTCACTATAGCCTCGACATTTTGCGAACCCCTTTTCTTTTTGATAATTCCCCAAATCCCCTTTGCTTAATTTTTCAATGGAGATCTGGGAATATTTATGTATATCTGCAGAAACCTTACAACCAGCAGACTTTTCTATTGCTACTGCTTTGTAATTTACAGTTGCTAACATGTTTTAGTACCTATTGGGTACCGGGGCACTTGTGCTAAGCTCTTAATATGCATCATCTCATTTTAACTTCATAATGGCCTTATGCTATATGTACACCATCATTATATCTGTTTTACAGTACAGAAATGGAGGATTAGAGACATTAAGTGACTTGCCTAAGGCCTCACAGCTAACAAATGTTAAAATCCCGGCACAAAGCCAGCTCCATTTGACTATAAATCCTTAAACACAGTCAGCAATAAAAGGGAGGGGGTTGTAACTAGAAATGTGATGCACTGAGGGTGGGTGGCAGCAGTGACATTCTGGGCCATATGTTTTTATAAAAAAATCAGTTGCAAATATGTGAGAAGCTGTCGAATCATCTGGGTCTCCTGACTTCTCAACCTCAGTCTCTACCTACTTGAATTCCTCCATTTGCTACATATGGTCCTTGCTGTCCCAGGTGTCACCTGCCTGCTGTTTTCAGGGACCCAGGATGATTTTTGTCTCTTTGCACATTTAGCAAAACCCACCATCTGCATCACAGCTTAGAACACATCTGAGACCCAGGAAAGGAGCTGAGCCACCTTCTGGTTTCCACCCAGCCTCGAGTCCCTAAAGTGCTTCTTGACCTCCTTTTCTCTCTTCCGTTGCAACACCAGCTGAAAAAGTTTCTAGGTCAAAGCCACCTGTCTGTGTGTGGCAGTTGCAGGCGTGTTCTCGCTGATATGGGGTGAGTAAGATAGGAATGCATGTGATTGTCTTGGTGTTCCAACAATGCAGGGAGAAAGTCCAGCCCTGAGAAACCCAGGGCGGTGACAGTTGTATTGGTGAAGAGAGACAGGCAAGGGCAAAGGAAAGATGGAAAGTTAATGAAGAGTCAGTGATACTAGGGAGGTGAACTGGACTCCTGCGCACACTCCCTCCTCTCTCTCTCTCTCTCTCTCTCTCTCTCTCTCTCCTTATTTTGAACTGACTAGCAAAATGAAGTTAGAGAGCTTTCTCCTTCAATGAACTTATAGCTTCCCTAAGAGACCTTCAAAGCCAGCACATTTTGGGAAGAGTCACATACCTGAATTATGTCCACCAACAATTTGGGGGCAAAGTAAATAAGCCAGAAAATCAGGGCACCAAAAACCACCTTGGGGTGGCACTTGATTCACAAGGGGATGAAAGAGGGTGTATGATTTAGAGTAGAAAGTGTTGAGTCACTCAATAACAATCATAGCTAATATTAATTGAGCACTTAATATGAGCCAGTCAATGCACTAAGAGCTAATTGATGTGAATCATCTAATTTATTTCTCACAACAACTCTATGAGGTAGGTACTACTATTATCTTCAATTTCCAGATGGAGAATTGAAGGCCCTGAAGTTTAAGTGACTCACTCAAAGTATACAACTATTGAGGGGCAGAATCAGGGTTTGGATTTTGATATTTCTCAAAACCTTTGTTGCCAACCCTAATTCAGAAATATTATTAAAGTATTGGGCTGGGTGTGGTGACACACACTTTTAATTCCAGCGCTCAGGAGACAGAGGTGGGTGGATCTCTGTGAATTCAAGGCCAACCTGGTCTACATAGTGAATTCCAGGACAGCTGGGGCTGCAGGGAGACCCTGTCTCAAAAAGACAAAAAAAAGTATAACAAAACGAGGAGAAAAAGAGATCAATCAGCTCTTCCCCAACTCATAATCTTCTTGAAGGCTTGTACGGCTCCTTTGGCTTGGCTGCATTGTGGGGAGAACTAAGACCCAGAGAGATCTGAACTACGAGGAAGCCTACCAGAGCCTGTTGCTCTTAACTTGGTTTGAAATAATGGCATGCTGTAAAAACCTGTAGCCATTTCTCAAGTTGTCTTTTTTACACAATCGGCTTGGGAGGGATTTAGATGTGTAGGCACAATGGACTAATTTTTCTCTCTTGGGTTGGCACCATGAGGTGTGACTGTTGGTTCCACCCTAGCATACTGGCTGGCACAGCAGGCATCAGGCCTCTTTGAGCCAACAAAAAGATCTTGATGAGCTTGTTTTGTAGATGAGCCTAGGCCAGCAGAACAGACTTTGGTTGTAAAAAGCTTGTGGGTAGGAAGTTAAATGAACTCCTTCAGAGTGCCAGGTTATCAGAGAGGCCGCTGAAAGAGGTGTTTTGCAAAATGGTACCCTGTGACAACAGATTATTTTTCCTACTCAGGGGAGTACTTTATATTTAGTATACTCTGGCCTGGGCTCACCATAGACTCATGTTTAATAATAATGCCTGTGGCACCTTCCTGCAAGGGCTGTAACTCGTACTGTGTTTTGTAGAATGCCTCATGCATGGCAGGGCACAATAAACAGTCAATAGCCATGTTTACTATGATAACGATCTTTCAATGCCTTTCATTTGAGGCTCCCAAAGTGCTTTGCAGATACTAATTAGTTGAGTTTCACAGTGGCTCTCTGTTTTTACAGTACATTTTCCCATTTTACAGAATTTTAAATTGGGACCCAGCCAACTTAAGTGGCTTGCCCAAAGTCATACACCAAGCTTAAATGAATGATAATGATGGTGCTTTGCATTTACCTGACAGGTATTTTCTGCAATGATTCAGCATAATACAAAGATAATTTCACACTGGCTTGGAGGAAGGGGGCAGCAAATATTACTAGCTGCTGGCTAGGATGGATAAACTGAGGCAGAGAAGGCAAGTAACTCAGGAGGATTTGACTGAAGTTGCAAGTCCACTTTCAGAGTACATCATCCATGCCTTACCCAGGAGGCATATGCTTTCATGCTTATAGGAAAGATAGTTATATTTTTGCAAGTAGAAACAGATTGCAGAATGACACCATATTAATATCCAGGAATGGGTTTGTTCATATCTCCATCAAGAGGCAAAAGGGATATGAACACTTCAAGGAAGGAAATGAATGAATCAAGGGTGCTGATGATGGGGCTATTGGCTTCTCTCTTTGTGAAGCATCTTTACTAACCCAGATTCTTCCTCAAAGACCTGAGTTGGTGTTTTAGCAGCATGATAGGCCTAGGGCAGCTTGGAGAGTAGGCATAGACATATCACTGTCTCCTTTGCTGTTCCAAGTCCTCACAGAAGAGGTATGAGGATGCCCAATATCTTAATGCCTTTCTTTTACTTGTGGCCAGCTGTCAATCTCCCTCAAGGAGGAGCACTCTGTGAATCTTCTATAGTTCAAACCCTGGTAGCTATGCATGGCCTTTTCTTAGCAACAGCCACATGGAAAGAGATGAAAACCTGGACAGAACTATGCAAAGCTAATAGTGAACCTGCCTCTTCCCAGACAATGTTTCCTTAGTGAATAATGACACTCTCAGGAAAAGCAAGTCAGACTTTTGAAGGGAAGGGAAGGGGAAGATAAGAGGTTTCTGGGTCTTAGAAATTCAAGGGAGATTTGCCAATCCAGAGATAGAATCCTTTCCTCTATGAACAAGGCACACTTGAGTCAAGTCTGTTCCCCACCTTACTCCACCTTTGCAAGTGTGTGGATTCGGATTGACTAGAGAGACTTACGAGGAACAAGTGCCCAGCCCTTTCTGGAATGTATTCACACACATAAACATACTAGCAATAAAAAAAAATCTGCAGTGAAGAAATCACATGAACTTCCCACTCTCCTTTTTGAACATTTATGCACAATTCTACCACATGGCTGGCTTAAAGGTATAGTAAACTCCAGGAGGGCTCAGCTCTTAGAAGGAAAATTTCAGAAAACCCTTGTTGAATGCCCAACACAAGCCTTTTCTGTGTGAGGAGGAGATTCCTTGCCAGACCCTCCTACCCAAACCCTCTTCAGAGCAGGGTCTTGGTACCCTGCTGCCAATATTAAAGCTTGTTTTAGGCAGGCCTTCGAAGAATGCATCCTTGATTTTCTAAATATGCTAACAATCCAAGCCACAGCTTTCTGTGTCCACTTTGGCATAAGGACTCCAGGGGTGACAAGGCAAGCAATCCTCCTGAACTCTCAAGGACCACATCCTCCTCCTGAGTCGTGCCCTTGCACAGCATCCCACAACAAGGCTCATGCCAGGTCAGATAAAGTCCTCAGGGTGTGCTGATAGGTCTAGACAGAGGGGCACGAAAGGCTTTGCTGAATAATCTGTGTCGTTTGACTGTGTCTATTTGTTTTTTACGGTAGCCCCTTGAAATATATATGGTGTGCTCTGGTCACTTTATAGAGACACCTGCAGTACTCCTGTACACATCTCTTTTAGCATATAGCCCAGCCTTTGCCATCCGCTAGCTCACCCACATAGACGCTTCCTTCTGCATAATACAGGACATCAAATATCTTGATAACTTTGAATTGACTGTGAACGAGCATTGTCATATCACTTTATAACGAGGGACAGAAAGACAGATTTAGGTAAAATTCAAGTAATGTCTGACATAAGAAACTTCTCAGAAATCTCAACCCTGGGTGAATTTGCTTTTACTTTTCCTGACCCTCAGGGCATTTCCCATTCTCTGGTTTGGCCTCAGAGCAGCCTAAGTGAAAGATCAAAAGGATTATCTAAAACACTTTTCTTGTTCTTCTACCTCTGGGTAAGAACTAAGGAGACTCTAGCAAGCTTTAGAAGTGTGAGATGAATTCTCAGATGGATTACACAGGCTTGGAGTTCCATTATGTCTCCGTAAAGTCATCACGGTTCACGTACTCTATCTCTGGGGAATCATCGCAAACACGGTACATGTCGCTGTTTCCTCGCTCTCAGTATACACATAACCAACCTCTAAATGCACATGACATTAACAAGCAAGATCGTTCTTACCCCATCCATGTGGATCCTGATACTGGGCACCAGTCGGAAGGGGCTGGCCTGCAGACTTCTGGGATTGGTCCTGCTTTTCCTGCTGTCCTGTGTGGTCAGTATACCAGGCCTGCGAAAGGAGCCCGCTCTACAGGAGCTCTGGCCAGAGCGCACACCATCCAGCAGACGCACCAGCAGCAGGTTGGCCGGCAGCGCCTCGATGCTGCAGAACACCAGGGTCCTGCATTCCGGGCACCTCAGCTCCTTGTGGGCCTTGAAAATCCTCTGTAGACATGGCTTGCAGAAGGTGTGCTGGCAAGGGAGGACTTTGGCTGTGACATCGAGTTTTTCAAAGCACACAGGGCACTCTAGAAGATCAAGTAACGTCAAATCATCCATTTTATTTTAAAACTCCAGTCCTGACCTGGAGAAGAGGCAGAATCCGCATTGTAGGGGCAGCTGAGTGGAGGGGGCAGAGCTGGTCTCTTGGGAGCCTCAGAATTCCCTGCCTGTTTGAAGGGAAGAGGAAAAAAAAATGTGACTGCTCAGAGAGGTATGTCCCACCTACGAGGAGGCAGTGTCTTACAAAGCAGTTTGCAAGTACTTTGTTCCGGAACACGAGCTTCAAATGACTCATTCTGATTCAGTGCTAGCAGGTAGAAGACTCAACTTGTGCTGCAAGGATCAGAGGGAGTTCTGCGCAGTGGCTGACTGCTCACTGCCTGAGTGGAGGGCCAGAGCCAGGAGAGGAAACCTTTGGCCAGCTGAGACAGAGACCTACTTCTGCCTCCTGAAAGGGCTGGAGGGGCACTCTAGTGCCTGGAGCATAGCCATTCTTAACTCAGACTAAGGACCCCACACAGTGTAATTTCCGTGAGCACATAGACCTACCTTACCTTCTCCCTAGGCTGAAGTTTGTCTTCATCAGAAGCACAAGCAGATAAGCTTAGGGAGTTAAGTTTATTAACGCTCATGCAGATAGAGACTTCCTTTCCTCACAGTAGATCTTCCTCCACTATTTTCTTCTAGCAATATTCAAAAGTTACTACTCCTCAAACACTGTTTGACCTTAACGATAGGCCAGGGAAGCATTCTTTCTTTAATTTCCTCTCTCTGTTCCATAGTCTCTCTTCTTTTCTCTCTTCTCCTCTCTTCTCTCCTTGATTTTTTTTCTCTCTCTCTCTGTCTCTCTCTCCTCTATTAGCTTAGTCTCAGAGACACTCCAGTTGCTTGACATCTGCTCCTACTTTCAGCAAAAGCAGACAGAATTCTGGTTTGCAGTCACAACCTGCAAAAACCCAGAGGTACAGTTAGGGGTGTGTGTGTGTGTGTGTGTGTGTGTGTGTGTGTGTGTGTGTGGTCTGGAAACAGTTTCCTTTTGGATGTCTGGAACCAAGCCTCCAGTAGAAAAGGCTCCTAGGAAGAAGTCAGCTATGCCAAGACTTGGATGACCGCTGGGATCGCAGGTGGACTTGGCAGGAGAGCCAATGGTTCCCACAGCAAGTGGAGCAGACATGTGACACGCAGATGAGAGATGGTGTCTCACCTTCCCTGAGACTCTTCTCCAAAGTTGTCAGCCCGTTGGCTGGCGAGGTGCGTCTGGGTTAGGGTCACTAACCTGGTGCCTGTAACTGCTGCTGAAGTCTGCTGGTCCCTTCTGGGCTCTGCAGGGCGCTCCCTGCTGCTGGCTGATCTCTTTCCCTCCAAGTGCTGAGCCCTCAGGGCTTTGAAAAACTTCCACAACTTGAACAGTCTGAGTTTCAAGGGATCGCCTTACCCAGCCCTGTTAACGCTGTCGCTGCCGGCTGCTGCCTGCCAGCCACACTGTCTCTGACCCTTCCTTGATGTCGTAATCCCTAAGGGCCAAGGACTTCCAGTTTGTGTTCCTGCTTCCCTCATTTTCTGTCCCATCCAAGCAGCTGAAACCTGCTCAGTTACAAACATGCCCACGTGAACCAGCTTATTTTAAACATTTATAAGAATTTCCAGAGATGGTCAAATATATTATTGGTAGCTGTGGTGGCAAAGACAGCCAGCCTTACAAAAAGTTACTCCTTAAAAGCCACAGTTACTCTGAGTTTTGAGATGAAAAAGACTTCAGTAATCTTTTTGGCTCGATTTCTTTAAGCTAAAAATATAGTGGTGTGCACACACACATACTTGGAAAATCAAGTACAGAAGGGACTTTTATTTCTTAATATTTTGTTATTTTTATTTTTTTGTGTGTTTGAGAGTATTGTCTGCATGTATGTGAGTGAACCCATGTCATGCAATGCTGCAGAGGTCAGAAGAGGGCATCAGATTCCCCTGGAACTAGAATTAAGGACGATTATTAGCCATCATGTGGGTACTGGGAATTGAACTCTGGTCCTTGGCAAGAGGAGTCAGTGCTCTTAACCGCTGAGCCATCTCTCCAGCCCAGAAGGGACTTTTAAAAGAGTAAAAGCAATGGTTCCAGCCCTCCCCCTCTGTCATTTCATATCCCTTAATGGTGCTATATTTCCATTTTTGATTTATTAATAATATGTCTCATGTAAAGTTACAAAACAATCCAGCTGAGTAAGTAGATAATAACATTACCTAATACCAGGGTGGTCCTTGCCTATGTCAGTCACTGTTCTAAATGCCTGTCTTTGCTTGCGTTTTAACCCTTTTAACAACTTGAGGCTACACCACTAAACTTTACAACCCAGATGAGGAAGCTGAGACAGACAGGAAGGTAACCTGTCTGTTACCTGAGGTTGGCAGCATGGTCTGTGTTCTTCACTACTGTGCCACTGAGTGAGAGAGCTTTAAGAGAGGCGAGAGTTCAAGAACCAGTCAACATGTCTTCCAGATGAGGCAGCTGTGCCCAGAAAGATCAAGAGATTCTCTTAAGTTGTCTGGTGAGTTAGGATAAAACTGGACTAGAAGCTGGGTTCCCCCCCTCCTCTTCCTCCTTCTCCCTCCTTCTTTAAAAAAAAACAATTTCTTTATTATTTTTTATTTTACATGTATGAGTGTACTGCCTGCATGTAAATACACTTGCCTTGTGCAATGCCCATGGAGATCAGAAGGCTTTGGATTCCCCTGGAACTGGAGTTATAGATGGTTGTTAGCCACCATGTAGGTGCTGGCAACTCAACCCAGGTCCTCTGCAAGAGCAGCCAGTGCTTTTAACTGCTGAGCCATTTCTCCAGCCCTTCTTCTTCTTCTTAAAAGTATCTTCTGGCTGGACATGTGTTCTGCACCTATAATCATAGCACTGAGAAACCAGAGGCAGGAGGGTCAAGAGAGAACAGTTTGGGCTACACAATGAAACTGTCTCCCATCCCCAAATAAAATGCCCTTCCCTCCCTCCCTCCCTCCCTTTTCCTTCCTTCCTTCCTTCCTTCCTTCCTTCCTTCCTTCCTTCCTTCCTTCCTTCCTTCCGTCTTTTCCATCTAGCTACTTATCTAATATTCTATTTCAAAATAAGGATAGCAATTTCTTTGGCAGGGAGGCAGGGGATTGAAACTAGGGACTTACACTTGCTAGCAAAGATTCTATCCCTGAACTATGTGCTCAGCCTGATAACAATTATTTCTTATATGGAGATCATTTAGCTTCAGCTTCAAGTCTTAAGAGGAAATGAGGAGGCCTGGACACACCCTATGTTTTCTATGTCTTTCAAAGACTTTCCAAATCAATGATAAAAAGATCAAATATGCATGAAGCTTAGAATGAGAGAGAATGTCAGGAAGGAGCAGGTGAAGTTCCTCTTCTGAGTCCCTAGTCTCAATTTCCTGTCAATTTCAGGAACACTCTTGACTCTTTTCAAAGGAGGGGTACCCCTTTGAGCTCTAGCATCATTCCATTTCATTCAGTTTTCATCTCCGCCCATGAACAAACCCTTTGCAGTTTGAAGCTCTCTGCTTCATCACTGATTCCCACCTAGGAAAGTGGAGTCTCCTCTGTGAATTGCCCTGCGGTCCTGCTGCCTTCTAGGCAGAGTCATCCCAGCACTACAACTTGTGCTGCAAGGGCTGGCAGCATCCCTCCTTCCCTCTCTCTGATTCTGTTTTGTTGTTGAGTTATTTGTTATGGTTCAGATAGCCCTGCCCCCTCACCAACAGGATCCCAAGGACTTCTCATGCTCCTGAGAAAAGGGAACCTAGCTGATAAGCACCTTGGTCTTTGAAGTCAAGAGAAGCAGACTTTTCTCCACTGTTTGGCCAGCACAGCAGGCTTCCCCTTTGATCTCTAAAGAGGGCAGGTTTTAACAGTCCCAATCTCCTGCTTCCCCCTGCCCAACTTTTAAAAAAAGTATATCTTCCTGCCTTCTGTGGGAAGCAGAAACCTCCCCCTTTAAAAGGCCCCAGCTAATGACCCAGGCAGACATTTTCCCTGCCCAGAAGGGAATCTGTCCCATGTGTTCCTTTGCTAATAAACCCTATTTTGATGGAGTTTTAGCTGTGCCTCGGTGCCTCGTCATCCATTCGCTCATTCTCCGCCAACTTTTTACCTATCAGATGGTGCTGAAACCCGGTTCTTACTTCAAGGGACCTGCCTGAACTTCTCCAATGCCACTAACTTGGCTCTCAGGTACACTTCTTTTCTCTCTCCTCCTCTCCCCAGCCCTCTGTTTTTCTCTCACCTCTTTCTGGCTCTCCTCACTGGAAACACTCTGCCTTGCCTACTTCTTTTGATCTCCTTTCCCATTGATTTTCACCACTCCAGGCCAGCACTGTAGTCTCCACGATGGACCTGCTTCATCTGTTCCCTATCTCCGTTCCCCTGCCTGCCGCTCACCACCGGCATCTCGCCCTCTCCCCTCCCCTCCTTTGCCATGGGCCTGCAAGCTCTGCTGTCTTCCATCCTTTTTCCTGTCTTTATCCTCTTCCACTGCCTTTCCTCCTCACTTTACTCTGGATGATTTCTGATACTGTTCAGTCCTACACATAAAAATGCTCTGAATCCTTCTCCTCTCTCTCCCCCTCCCATACTAAAGCTTTCTACTCCCTGCTGTGTGCCTGCCTGCCCGCCACACGTCTGACCTCCCATGCAATCTCTACACCTGCATGAACCCAAGGCTTTTTTTCCCTTCCCACTATTCACCCCCTCCAGGCAGCTGCCAAGATGCCAGCTCGCCTGCCCTAGGGATTTTTTCTTTAACATTCTAATAAAATGATAAAAATTTCCAGCTGGGCCCACTCTTAAATTCTCTTATAAATGTGGCTAAGAACCGTTTAGGGGACCCTTTCTCCCCATTTTGGCCCAACTAGCCTAAACCAGCTGGGCAACTTTGCTGGAGCATTTAAAGAATTTCAGGCGCTTGCCCCATTGACAAATGAAAAACATTTTAAAAGCCTTTTTTTTCTCCTAAACTTTTTCTCAGGCAAAGGGTCTCGAAATTTTGATCTTAGGCTCTCTTGGGCATCAAGCAACTGGTGCTCAGGTGCCTACTTTTCTAACTAGACCTAACCACTTTAAATTTCACTATACATAAAGGTCACAGGCACTGCTCAGGCAAGTCATATGCTTTCAGACCAACAACCACTGATTTATATGCCCTGTTCCTTCTACTGCCCTCATGA